CTCGGCGGCTGGCTGGCGCGGGCGGGGGCGCTCTTCGAGGAGCACAAGGGCCGCGTGCAAAGGGGCGAGGCGGGCGTACGAGCAGCGCTCAGGTGATTGGGTGGTTTTCCCTGGCAGCCGGGCGGTGCTTTGGCAAGGAGACTCACGGGCGCGGGAGGGAGGCGGTTGATGGGGCGGAACGCGTCGCAGGGCGGCAGCAGTCTTACTGTTCGCATTTGAGGATCAAGGGAAAGGTGCAGCAGCGTCCGGCTGCAGCAAACGCACCCCAAAACAGCAAGCAGCACGCTCGATGCATGCTGGAAGAACCTGGGCTGCATAAATGGCTGTCATAGACATCCTGAATTCTCAAAACCCTTCCCCATTGCAGGACTTCCTAATCACAAACCCTGCACCCATTCCAGGGAGGCCCGGGACGCTTTCGACGCCCAGCATGCCCAGCACGAAGCCGCGTTTTCGGCCGCCCTTGACGCCGTCTCGCGCGCCGCCAGCGAGCCGGCGCTCGACCGCTGCGTGGGTTCGGCCCTCGAAAGCCTTAAAGATGTCGCCGCGGGCTTCAGGGCGTTCCACGCGGCCGCGACGGCTGTTGCCGCGGCGCACCCGGGGGCGGTGCGGGAGGCGGAGGGGCGGTACGAGCGGGAGCTGTGCGGCCTGACCAGCGTCGCGATGCAGCAGCAGCAGCAGCAGCAGCAGCAGCAGCAGCAGCAGGGCGGGAGCTGCTGCGCTCTCTTGGAGGTCCTAGGGGGCAGCGTATATGAGGAGTCAGCTGACCTCTTATCCGCGCTGCTGGCGGCTCAGCCCAGGCCCTGGGACTCACAGCAGCAGCAGCAGCAGCAGCAGCAGCAGCAGCAGCCCGCGTCGGCATCCCTCCAGGGGCCGCAGGGATTGAGCGAGGCCGGCGCTGACGGAGGCGTCGATGCCGCGCAGAAAAATCAGCCGGCGCAGGCGCCCAAGCCGTCGGTAAAGCTGTCAAAGGCGGAGGCGGCCGCCGCCGCAGCGGCTTCAGAGGCGGCCGCGGCCGCGGAGGCCGCGGCCGCCGCGGCCGAGGCGGAGGCCACGGCGCGTGAGGAGGCGGCGCGGCGGTGTCCGGAGAGCCTGGACGGCTCTAAGCTGTGTTTCGAGGCGCCGCTCCCCGAGGCTGACTTCAGGGCCGTGCTCAGGACGCTGCAGGTGTGCGCGCCTGCACGCTGCAGGGTAATGCGGTGCGGCTCGCGGGGCGGCCCGCGCCACGCTCAGCTGGTGCGGCTCGCCAGCACCGCGCGATCTGAGGGTCTGCCTGCTGCAGTACAGTGTCAGGTTGAACACCTGAGACCTGGTTGACCTGGCGTCTCTATGCGTCGCGCCTCTTCCTTTCTTATGCAGGTGGCGCTGCTGTCGGAGATGGAGGCGTGCGCCGCCCGCACCGTGGGCGAGGCTACTGCCTGGGAGGAGCAGCAGGTGCGCGGCCGCGCCCGTGCTCCATGGAGCCAGGCACCTCTCCTCCCGAGCCGCTGCCAGCGACGGTCTGAATGGATGCTTGCGCGGCGCGCTGCTCGCGGCCGGTCGACGGTCTCACAGCATGAATGTGAACAGCTCAATTTGCACCACTGACTGAGAGAGCTCACAGGGCGTCGGTCCAAACCCAAGACCCAAAAGCGGTGTGGTGGCCCCAATCCAAAACAAAACAACCACCGCAGGAGACGCAGCTGACTGAGGAGCTGGACGAGCGCCTGCGCGCCCACCGCCCTCGCGCCGGCCGCGTGCAGGAGGAGGCGCGCGCGGCGCGGTCCGCGGAGCTCTCCGGCCAGCGCCGCAGGGCAGAGCGCCACACCGCGGACCAGAGCGCGGCCGCGCGGCGGCAGCGGGCGGCGTTTGACGACGGCTGCGCGGGGTTTGGTGAGGCGGCGGCCGCGGCGGCGGCGAGGGTGAGGGGGTATGAGAAGCTGCTGGGGCAGGCGCTTAGTAAGAAGGGCGTGGACATCTGCTGGCGCGAGGCGCAGGCGTTGAAGGTGGGTCTACTGGGGCCAGGAGGGCGATAGAGGTGTTTTGAGAGCAGGGCCAGGGGAGCGCGGGCGGAGCGGGGTGGCAGAATGCACAAGGAATAACCATATACGGTGGGTTGCATAGGGAACCTCCCGCCGCCGACTCTGGTTGGCTCGAGGCGGCCCAGTGGTGATTCTGATTGTAACCCTACGCCTCTCGCCGCCATGTCGTGACAGCAAGCGGCATGCCACACCGTACCGCCCGCCAAATCTGGCTTGACGTTCCAAACCTCCGGCAGGCACGGCTGGAGAAGCAGCTGGCGGCAAAGGCGGCGGCGCTGAGGGCCGACTCCGAGGCCGGCTGCGACGGCATTGTGGCCACCAACAGGCGCTTCGAGGCGGAGCATTTGAAGGGCTTTGAGGGTGGGCGCGTGCAGGGGGTTGAATTGGGACCTGGCCCCTGCCGGACTGCCCACCTGCAGGTCTGCTGCGCGCTGCCGGCCTGTGGGGCCAGCTGCGCCGTCCGCACACCACCTCTTTTTCTCGGCCTCGTTGCCGCCGCCTCCGCCGCGCCCGACTGATTGCGTCGCATCCTCAGTGTTGCAGCTGCCCTCTCGCACTCCACCTGTGCAAATGACACCACCCCCGGCGCATCAAACGCAGTCGGCGGCCGCGTCGCGCCCGAGAGCATCGCTGCATACATGGGCGCCCTGGCCGGCATCGACCAACACATGGCTGCGCAGCGGGGGAGCCAGGCGGTGGCGGTGGCTGCGCTGCAAGCTGAGGCGGAGCGGGTGGGCCGGGGGCTCCCGCCTGGACGGGGTGCCTGCTCGTGCGTAGCCTCATCGTCCCTGCCGCACTAGAAGAGCCTGTCAGAGCCGTGCAGACATGTTTTTGCTGCCTCCTGCCACCTATGCTTTACAAAGACATCAGCCGTGCGCCGCTGCCGCCGCTATCACCACCTGCCGCGCAAACCAACCGCGCCCGCAGGCGCTGTCGGACGCGCTCGGCTATGTTGAGGCGCTGCTGCCGTCCCACCGAGACGACATGGCCCTGATAGAGGCGCTGGACGGCGCCCTCTCCGCCGCCCGCGGCTGCGCAAAGGCCGGGCTGACACGCAACACAGAGGACGCGGCGGCGATAGAGGCGGCGCTGATGCGCGTCGAGGCGCTGCTGGCCGCCGGCGACGCGCGGGCGCTGTTTGAAGCGGAGGCAGGGGGCGGGGCTGCGGCCGCGCGCAAGGACGGCGGCGGCGGCGACGGCGGTGCCAGCGTGCAAGCCGAAGGC